AATTTTCTTGCAACTAAAGGATACACACTAGTTGCCTCTCTGTGCTCAGTACTTGTGGCCTCATGGCATCACTATAATGAGCAGGACCAGCTTTTCAGCCCATAATTGGGGTTTTTCACTTTTGTTTAAGCTACAAAAAGCATGCCGAGTCTTGTAGAAACTTAAGTTATAAATCTTGAAAGGTTTTATTCTTCCCATTCTACAATATGAGGAGCATTTGGTTGAATTAAATAGGGCCATGGGAAGGGAGTCTTTCCAGGGGTGTGTTTGGGCAGATGAATCCAAGCCAGAACAGCTTTGTTCTTGTTAGGCTGAAATAGCATCTAACCCTCCTTCCTTTCTGTACACTCTAATTGGGGAAATTTATGTGCATCATTTTCATGTGTGTAAGAAAAGATGAAGCTGTAGATACTATAGATTCAATTTCCCTAGAAATATTGTTTTATTGCTGCTCCAGATACAATGTCAGAGAAAAAAGAACCGTGGACATTTTTGGAAGCTTGCAAAATGCAGTGTTATAGCATGATGCATGTATAAAAAGATGGGATTTGCATTGTGACTCCACAATACTGTTTTTTCAGATTCTGCACACACACACACACACACACACACACATCCTTCCAATGTTCTTTGGATATCACTAGTGACAGGCTTTAAAACAGATAGTTTGGGGCCTCAGTGGGGGTGCTCCTTGCTAGAGATGGTTTATGGGATAAGAAACCCTCACCCCCATGCCGTCTGTCTCCTTTTATGTAACATTTAGATTTTTAATTGTTTCTGTTTTTATCTTTTTTTTAATCATTTGTAAGCATTTAGGGTTACATTATCAGTGAGATAGACAGTGTAGAAATTTAATTAACAAACAAGTAAACAAACAGGCATAGAGGAGGGAGGCCAGGTCAATGGGTAGGGAGCTCTCCTGGGCAGCCATCAGGAGTGCTCCCCCCAAGACTGGGTCAAGCTCCTTTTAGCTGGACAAGACCAAATATTTCAGTAAATACCAAGTTGATAACCAAAACAGGGATTTCCCAGGCTTATTTATAGTGAGTTCAGAAGGCAGAATGTTTCTGAATATTTTCCAACACTTCTTTCCAGATTCCTCCTGAGCTGGGCTGAGTTGCTGTTTATAATATAAACTGTGAAATGACTCGCCCACTGCTATCTCTTTATTGTTTATGTCCACATGTTTTCATCCATTCCTTTCGCAGCTTCCCTGCAATCTGTTGCATCCTGCAACCTGATAGGCTGTGTTTTGTACACTTGACAGTTGGCTAAATTGGCCACTCGTAGCACCTGCTGATAATTGCCCTGCCCTATCTCACCACATTTTGAGGAGAGTGATTACGGTTAATTTCCCAACGTTCGTTGAGGGTGGAAATGAAGCCAGGGGACTCGGTCAGTCACTTTCCTTGATTTGTCCTGCATTCAAATTAAAAAGAAAACATCAACTACTGCTCTAGTTCTTGGGGCAGAATAGTCCTTGGCTGTGAGGGCAATGCAGTGTATGCAGTGCAGGTAGTTCTCGACTTAGGACCACAATTGAGCCCAAAATTTCTGTTGCTAAGTGAAACATTTGTTAAATGATTTTTGCCCTGTTTTATGACTTTTCTTGCCACAGTTGTTAAGTGAATCACTGCAGTTGTTAATAACATCGTTGTTAAATGAATCTGGTTTCCCCATTGACTTCGCTTGTAAGAAGGTCACAGAAGGTGATCACATGATCCTGGGCCACTGCAACCATCGTAAATATTGTAAAAAATGGTCATAAGTCATTTTTTTCAATGCTCTTGTAATTTTGAATGGTTACTAAATGAGTTGTTATAAGACAAGGACTACCTGTATATATTTCTGTTGACTAAAAGACTGGAGGAAAACTTTCAGTGTGGCTACTCTGGTTGTACTCACAATCAGAAGAAGGCCGAGATCTTTCCTGATTCCTGTAGCCTTTGGTTTAGATGGATAAATGCCAAATCACTCAAAACAAAAGGCGTCATGCCTTCCACCTTTCCCAATTACTACTGATGAAATGCCACATAGACTTCTGTTTAAGTCGGTGTTTCTCAATCTTGGCAACTTAAAGATCTGTGGACATCAACTCCCAGAATTCTGGGAGTTGGAGTTCATACATCTTCCAAGTTGCCAATGTTGAAAAACATTGGTTTATTTATTATGAACAAATCCAGAAATGAAGGAGTTAATTTCATAATTGTAGAATATTAAGAAAGAGCCACCTTGACCTAGAAATTTTGATCTAGCCCTAACTCTGCAGGGGGACAAACATAAGAAAGGGGTGAAATAAAGAAATAAACGTAACATTTTAGATCTGAAAATGTACAGCAATTTGATACGTTGGAAATATTGACCTAGTTCTTCACTGTACAGTTTAGTCCTAATTAGAGACTATTTTATAAATATGGAAGATAACTTGTAGTCTTTGAAAATAGGCTATAGCCCTGAGTGAACCAACTTTTGATTCTGTGTCTTACTATAAAGAGGCCTCAGCAAAAATAGTCAGAAATAGATAGACTATACAGCACAATTTGATGGACCCTAAATCACTTTACAGACTTTATATATAAACAGCAAAGTGCAGCCATCTCTGGAATGGAGCTTGACATCCAGCTAGCATACCATGGAAGTTTACAAATAAGGAAAGGAGATATTTTTGGCCAAGGACGTTTCTTCTTATTAAAGTCTATTGGAGTTTGATAGAACAGGGTGTGTTTTTTTCCTTAGTAAAAGATGACGGGGAAATGTTACAACTATGAAATAGTTATCTAAATGATTCCCAAAATTTCAATATATAGTTCCATAAATGATGCAGATACTATTTAAAGATAAGGTCATTAAAATAATTGAGTATGGGTTAAAAATAGTTAGCTAAATCATTTTACTTATTTCATTTTCCTTTCCATTGTAAAATTATGAACCATTAGACATAATATCAAAATTTAAGTACATTTAAAAATTCTTTAGTTTAATTCTTCATTAAGTTATTTATTTATTTGATTTATTTACTACGTTTATATGCTTCCCATCTCACTATCGGAGCAATTCTGGGCAGCTTATTACAAAAGAAAAGTAAGAATATAAAACATTAAAAATGTTAAAATGGTTATAATTCACAGGGATTGGATAAAATTAGGAACCAAATACACAAGCAGTATGGAGATGGCATCTTGTTTCCTAGTCCATCAGCTGCCTCCAGTGTAGAATTCCCTCATAAGCTTTCATGGTTACCGTTTGTTTCATTAGACACACGTAGATATGCGTGTGTGTGTGTATACATTCCCATACTCATATACATATACACATTGCATTCATATAAAATATACATTCACAAAATATACATGTAGCCCAGAGGGAATGAAAAAAGTAGAAATAAGGTCTATTGACTACATGTATAGTGAGAATTTAGAAACCAAAAGTTAAGGGTGACACCCTTTTATTGATCTCAAGTTCATCATCTTTAAGAAATTAAATTACAAAGACTGATTTCATCATGAGTCAGCTGAGTTAGACTTCATTAGGAAATATTATAGCATTTTTCAAGGATGAACTAGTTCATACATGTATAAATGTGTCACACCTAATCACTGTTTTACTTACTATGATTAAATCTCATACTCCCTCACATTCCTTCAACTATTCCTTTCTTTCCTAATTTCTCAAAAATATATAATATGTAATATTACTGTCTCTTTGGCAGCTAACTGAATCCAGTGTTGGCATGCTCAGTGCACCTGCCTGAACTTCCTTTAAGAAACTGCACTTTTTCCCGCTATAGCTGTGCACTTGCAGGAAAATATGTGTTCCAGTTTAACAGTATTTGAAGAAAGAAAATACACATTTGAATTAAGGAGATATTTATTCATTCATAGAGGAGGGGTTGACAGTGGTCAGTGGATGAGTAGAGTATGCCAACAAAAAAAAAGAAACAAAATAAAGACATGATTTTCATTTTTTCTGGGTTTGGGGAGAAGAGTTTTGAAAATTCCCTTTTTTTAAAAATGTAGCTGTGCTTGCATGATTTGTTTACCATATTTACTCAAGTAATCCAATGAACCCTAAACTAATCAAGTAGGCAGGTTAAAATGTGGCTGGCTAGTCTTTCTTGTGTGGACACTGGCTATATTTAGGAGCTGTAAGGTTTGTACTATATTTTCACATATTTCCTGTTCTCACCAGTGGTCAGAATCCATGTCTATAGGAAAGGGTAAAAATGGGAATATCTCTAGGATTGAGCATACCATTTGTACGTAACATAGTTTTAAAGAGCATTCACAAGTAACTTTAAAACTAGTTTGATTATAGTTCAACTTTCCCATCATAGCTGCTCTAATTGTCCACTAATTCCTGAAAAGTTTGCCAGTGTTCATATTGGGGTATATAGGAGACGAAGAGTCTTCTACTTTGCAAAGTATACACTTCAATTGTAATAAAGTTGAAGAGAAAGACAGTAGTTCTTAGCAGTTTCAGAATTAAATTCATTCATCCATATAAATTATAACATATGGGTATCCAGTGGGGAGCCATTGGATGCTTTAAAAGCCCAATGATATGTCTTTTAATTTTGTTTATTTTTATATTCTTTTTATTAGGAAAAAAAATGGGCATCAAGCATATTGCAAAGCAAAGAGCCAACCTTTCTTCCTTAAGAATCTGCCATATTCTCCATGGAAATATTTAGAAAATAAAAACGATATAAAGTGCAGCCCTATGATCTGTTTGAAAGTTGGCCCACCAATTTAGGAGAAAATACAGAGATAAGATGAGGTTGAAGAGATCATCCTGAGCAGGTGTGGAAAGCACATACCAATTTGGCAATCTCACTACAGCAGCATGTTCTCAAATTCCTATGAAGCAGATATAAATCTAAGTGCTATTGCTATTAATCCTCCCCATTTTTCATTCATGACATTGTATCCTGGATTTTTCTTTAGAGCAAAAATAAGGAAATTATTTACAGGGACTAATATCTTTCTTTCTTCATCTTTCAGATTTGTCCATATGATGTAGCCCCAAAAGGCAAGATGGAGACCATGACCGTGATTGAAATTCCACCTGTTTTTTTTATGTTCAGTTCACTCTGTGGAAACCCCATCATTCAAACCTAATTTCAAAAATCAATTTCTTTGCATTCAGATTCTAGTAAGTGAAATACACACAGCAGTAGAACAAAGGCAAAAAGGCAGAATTATGGTTCATGTTCTATTTTTATGCATTGAAAGAACAATGGGGGGAGGGAAATTTCATAACGAGTTACATATGATATACTGTAGGAGTTTACAGCATTGGAATTTATTATGAAAAATCTATTTTTACTTTTTGGCTAGACATCTGCTTTACTTCAAAGAAAAAGGAGTAAATAAGTATCTTAAAGCCTATTGAAAGAGCAAAAGTTTTGAAAAGTTTGTTTTTCCCCATTTTTTCCTATTTAAAAATAATTAATGATTCTGTAGAATCTCAATATCTGGTCTCCTGAATTTTAGGCAGGAATATTATGCTTTGTTGCTCAAGGATAATAAAATATGGGAATTCATATAAATAAAAAATAATCTGAAGTCCCAGATTATTTCAAACCAAAGTTTTTTTATTTTCTCAGAAGAAACCAGTAATAGTTACATCGTATGCAAAAAGAGGTGTGGAAGGTAATTTCAGAAATCCAACCATTTTAAAATCATTTAGATCAGGGCTGTCCCACCTTGGCAACTTTAAGATCTGTGGACTTATAATTCCCGAAATTCCCCAACCACAGGTCTTAAAGTTGCCAAAGTTGAACACCCCTGATTTAGACTATGAATGCTTCTTCTAGTTCCATGCCCTATGCCCTTGTCTTTTGTTTTCTTTACACTTCTCACCTCTTTCTTTTTGAGGAGCTCCTCAGCTCTCTGACACCACAATTTGCTTGGGTTTGTTTTGTTACCTCTCTCTTGACCCACTCATTCTTCCTATATGTACTTCTTTTCCAGTTTGATGTTCAAGTCTTTTCTCAACATGCTCACACTACAGTACCTTGGCATCCATTCATTTTTGACCCTGCCTTCTTCTTTCATCACACATGAACTTTTTAAGTACTCCAATCACACTGCAGTCAACTTACTTCTGTGTTTCACCTGACATTGTAACGCTTAGTTTCATGTAATAAAGTGAACAAAAGTACAAAGTTAATACACAGCTTTTTTTTTCATTTCAGCAAATGTTCTTTCCTCACAAGTGACCATATATTATTACTTTGTTCTTAGCAGCTTTCATATCATCTTTCCAATTTGTTCACTTTCTGTTTATTCTGTTGGGAGATTAATCTGTCTTCAAATACCATTTTGTAAAAGATGTATACTTTCTCTTCTTATAGTTATTCTATTTTCACTCTCATTTCTTTCACTTCTATTTTTCTTCCATGTCCATTTTCCAAAATTGGCTCTTGACAACATCCCAACAATTTATGCACCCCAAATTTGGAACCTCTCATCATTGTATCACTCATTAAATCTTTTACTCTTTCAGCATAAACCCTAAACCTGATCAAGTTTTCAGTTTTTAATTCTTTATCTTTGCCATTGTATGTATGAATAGACTTATACAAACTAAGCAATGTATCTGTAATGAATGTAAATTTAAAATCATTACTCTTGAATCACTATTCTAATTCAATCCTGTGTGTCTAAGTAACCCAATTGTCTTTTATTTTTTCTCCTCATTTTCATCTGAATTTCATATTCAGAATGTAGCATTTTCCTGAAATTATTACTATTAATTGAAGCACATACATACACAAAGCTATCCTCAACCTATAGATTCCAACTTTCACACATAACCACAACAACCTAAATAACACCGATTCAGACTTTCTGACAGAAATTTTCCTCCAGGAAGTCTTGGAATAGAGGGCTAACCTGGAACATTAAAAAAATATTCCTGAAGAAAATCACTTTCATATTATCAAGATGGCTACAAGGACATATCCATGTAGTTTCCAGAAAATGAACACAAATCAAAGGAGATTGTAGCTTCTTTATAATAAGAGGAACAATGGTATTTACTTTAATTTTAAGAATTGGTTATACAGTAGTTCCCTCAGAATAAAAAGTTCAATAATAATACAATCTCATGCCCTTTGTATATTTAATATTTTATACTGACAAAGTGGAAAGCCACTTACTTCTTTGCTTTTCTGCATAAATGGGATTTGACTATATTAGTGCTATTTAGGGATCACTAATGAGGAAGTTTATGAGAGAGAATGTTGCTTAATAGGTCATCAATATCAATCACAGAAATAGGAATCTCTTCTATAGCATTAATTCCATGCTATGTTTAAATGAAAAAAAGTTTTCATTTTGCCTACCTTTGTAGTAAATTTTACAAAATGTTTAGTCTCAAGCTAAAATATTTCTCAGTTTATAATGTAACAAGTTTTCTGAGTTATTTCTGTTTACATCTGGATCTGGATTTATAGCTGGTTGTTTATATCTTCCTGCATAATAATTTTGGCAGAGCTGACTCATTGTTTCTACTAATGGGAGAATAGCTGTCTGTTTTGTTTTCCTGACACATTGTGTAGCAAATGGAACCATCTGTAGTGCATTGGTCGGAAGTTAGTTCTGTTGTTATTTTAGTTGAAACCATTAAATAACATAGAGAAATGTAATATAATTTATTACTCAAACTTACATAAAACTGGGAGAACTTTATATTGCTTATCTCTCTTGTCTACCCAATTGTAACTTTAATTCTAGATCAAACTGATCATACTAAATACAAGCATTTTTGTTACCTATGACATCCAGTCGGTAAAAAGTAAGAACCTGAGATTTCATAAAAAATACTTCCAACTCTGCCCCCATATTGGGTTTAAATTTGAATTTAGTTCAAAATTAAGGCAAGAAGGTAGAAACTGATGATGAGTAATTAGTATATATTTTCAAGAAGGTAGAATTTAGGGGTGACTAATTTTAAACCACTGTTGCTATCTTGGTATTTTTTTCTCCCAGTCCAAGGTATGATGCAATAACCTATTATTGGTGAATCAGCCTTTTCTTTTAACCTCTTTTTACATATGAACAAATCACTGTAAATAGTGAATAATATAAGCTGCTCATATTTATTAATATCTTTCTTTTTTCACAATAAAATCAAATCACTTACTTAACCTCAGTTTTATTATTTTAGTGGCTGATTAACCAAAACTTCCTGGAATCTTAGAACAAAAAATAAATGTTCCCTTAAATAAGCAAGCTGTATGATCCACTGTATCATCAAAACAGTGGTGAGACAATTGTTAGCATCTGTGTTTGATCATGATGGTCTAAGAAAATCCTTAATTTAAGAGAAAATAACCACAGAAACAAGGCCTGGCAGTACTGTAACAATTCTAAGGGATAACTACTAGTAGCAGAAACTCTCAGAAATTGTCATGAAAAGTATTTGGTTCTGTGACTTACGCACTGTTGTTCTATGTGATATCCTATCTGCATCATCAAAACAGTGGTGAGACAATTCTTAGCATCTATGATTGATAATGATGATCTAAGAAAATCCTTAATTTAAGAGAAAGTAAACCACAGAAGCAAGTGTTTGAGATAACTAATAAGTTGCATAGAAGTAAGTCACAAAGCCAAATGCTTTTCATGACAATTTCTGAGAGTTTCTGCTACTATTAGTTATCCCTTAGAATTGTTACAGTACTGCCAGGCCTCTTTAACTGCATGTCTTTGGAGAAGAAAAACAGGCTCAGATAAAAAATGCTTTAGCACAGCCTTTTTATAATTTGCATATTTAAAGCATGCAGTTGAACTACTCCTTGAACAATTTTTGAGGCTTATTGACGCACATACCAGATCATAAATAATACTTGTAAATCAATACAAGTTGCTTTTAACCTACCTTAAGATATATTTAAAAGCCTACTGTTTTCTTCTGTTCCTGTGTTCTAGATGTTCAATATCAGAAAGCTAAAACCAAAAATGTTGCCTCTCTTTTGCTGATTAGTCAGCTGAACTGAGTTTTACTTATGAAGCTCTAAATAGTGTCATATTTCTGAACAGTTATAAGAGATTGGATTCTGAATCTGATCTGTTCCTTTATCTCTAAATATAAACATTTATCTAATCATAGGAACATAAAAACAGCCATGCTGTTTAAACTGAAAACTGATCTATGTCAGTATTTATCCTGATAAGGACTCAAGTACTAACCATGTTAGTACGAAGCTCTTATTTTCTAGTAATTAGTACTGAAGGACCTGCACACTTTTTATTCCAGAAGTAACATATAACCCTCATGACAGTGTCAGTCCACACCAGTAGTGGGATTCAGCCAGTTCGCACCAGTTCAGCAGAACCAGTAGCTAATTTTTTGTTACCCAGGCCCAAAGTGGACTTCCGGAAGTGGCAGAGAACCAGTTGTTCACATATTTGAATCTCATCACTGGTCCACACCCCTTTCATCTATGAATTTATATAATCCTAACCTTTTAAATTAGTAAACTAGTAAGAATCACACGTTAATCTATATACTACTAAAACTCTCCTTCCTGTAGCCTTTCACTGGGCAAATTGGTGCAGCAAACAGGTACCTCAATGGATTAACATATAGAATGTGTCCAAAATTTGGGATCTTATCACCCCCCCAAATTAAAATTTATCAAAATTTTATGAAACATTTTATGACATTAAATTATTATAAAACAGTTAATGACATAATACAAATGCTATAAAACATCTCTGCTGTTGTTGATTGCACTATAAAGTTCAACACAGACTATTTTCGAGATAAATATATTTCTAAATATATTCCAACTTTTCCAGTGAGGTCAGTACATTAGAATTTCTGTCATTGTTGAAGGCATTGAGGAATCTGGTAAAAAAAATAACAGATATTCGCCACTACTGCAAAAAAAGAAAAGAAATCTCTGAATGGATGACCCAAGGGGTCACTAGTTGTCTAGTTGTAAAAATATTCTATAGCTTAGCTATTTACTGCGAGAACTTCTTTCCATATAATATTTTATTGTAATGTCCTCATGCCAGAGGAGGAAAAAAAAATCCCCTTTTCTATATAATACATAATGTTGTGCACCTTCATTATAACTCTACTTACTTGTCTTCCTTCCAAGATAAGATGTTCCAAACACAATAGTATTTTCTAAAAGAGGAATTGTTTCAACCCAAAGTTTAGGTACCCCTTTCTGTGCCCTTTCTAATTCTCTGGTTACCTTTTTTAATTATATATATATATATATATATATTTGTTTTCTGAGGTTTTCGCGGGTATTTGTATATAGGTCTTTGGTTGTTCGGGTTTTCTCCCGCGTAAAATTGGAAGTGTCTTGGCAACGTTTCGACGAAGTCACATTCGTCATCTTCAGGCTGGTGTTTTTAGCTTCTTGCTTTGAGCAGCAATGTGTGGTTTTAGCTGTTTCTTCCTTTTAACTGCCAGTGAGGGTATGAACTGATTGGATGGGAGCTTGGCTGTGTTCTGATTGGGTGGAGGTGTGTTCTGAATGGTTAGGGGCTTGGCTGTGCTCTGATTGGCTGGGGGAGTGTTCTGTTTGGTTGTGCTCAGGTTAGTCTGAGTTGCAGAGGGGTTTAAGATTTTGGGGTTAGGGAGTCGTTTGTCAATAAGGGCAGGTTTCCAAATGGCTGGTAGGCGGGAGGTATCATCTCGCTTGTTCATGCTGTGTGGGCGTTTTTCTATCTCGATGGCTTCTCTGATTATTCTGTTATTAAAATGTTCACTTTTGGCAATGGTTCTGGTATTTTTAAAGTCAATTTCGTGTCCTGTGGCTTTAAGGTGTTGGACCAGGGAAGATGTTGGTTCCTCTTTTTTGACTGAGTTCTTATGTTCTTCAATGCGTGCACTTATTCTTCTGTTGGTTTGTCCGATGTATGTGGTGGGACAAGTGGTGCATGGGATTTCGTATACTCCTTGATTTTCTAATTCAATTTTATCTTTGGGGTTTCTAAGGATGGTGGATATTTTTCTGTTTGTGCAGAATGCTGTTTTGATGTTGTGTTTATGAAGGATCTTACTGATTCTGTCTGTTTTTATTTTTGTTTTTGTGTGAAATGAACTTCACACAAAAAGATTCCTCCTAGACCGAATTAACAAAGATCTCCTCACACTCCACCTCAAACTCAGCAACAAGATCCACCCCGCACTTTGGGACAAATCCAAACAACTCGCCGTCTGGAGAGCCGAAACACAGACCACCCTCAAGACAGATACACACACCAACAAACTCCGAAGACTACAAGAACGCCAGAAACAAACCCCTCCTCCCTCACAGCCACACATGAAACAAACAGTGCATAACATCTCAGATAGGATCCTCACCAAAGCCGAAACCAATGTCCTTTCCAAAGGATTCAACTTTGCAGTCGCTCCCAAACACATCCCCACTGAAACCATTATATGTGGAGTTGAAACCAGCCTGACCAAAATCAACCCCGATGAGCTAACAAAATCAGACTCAAAATCACCAACATCCTCTGCACCAGCAAGCCACCCAAAAGCAACTTACCCAAAGAGGAACAGACAGCACTACGTAACCTGAAAGAAGACACCAGCATAATAATCCTACCAGCAGACAAGGGCAACGCCACGGTGGTTATGAACACATCTGACTACCAAACCAAATTAACCAACCTACTCCAAGACTCCACATACAAACCCCTAAATACAGATCCCACCACCTACCTGGAAAAAACCACCAGATCCAAAATAAAAGCCTCCCCCATTAGCGAAGAGATCCAGCAAAGAATCATTCCCAGAGAGAAATCATCCAGATGCCCCAAACTCTATGGTCTCCCCAAGATACACAAAGAAGGAACCCCACTCAGACCTATAGTCAGCTCCATAGGCTCACCTCTACAAAACCTAGCCAAATTTCTCGCCAAACAACTACAGCCC